TACTGTGATCCCGATGCATATTCAGGTATTTGCAAGGGTAAATTGTTGTTGTTTCCTTTACTCTGTTCTCACATTTTGATATCAAATTATTAATTTTATTCAACATGTTTTGCAGTTTGTTTTCACTCTACATCTATAACAGCAGAGATTAATCATGGCCAATTCAAGCGCGCTCCCAAAGTGTGTGCACCAAAATGGCGCACAACTTGTACCCTAACCCGGTGCGCATACTATGTTCAGGTTGTGCGCCATCTTGGTGCACATACTTCTGGAGGTCCCGTTTCTGCTGAGACAAAAGCAATATTGGATAAAATATTTATTCTGAGAAAAAAGAAAGCTATGCCTGCATGTCTGTTTGCCATTCGTCCCGATACAGACAACGACAAGTTAAACAGCATTGAACCAGGTAAACCCAGCTTCAGAGAACATGTACCGAAAAATGCACTTGCTGTTTATAAAGAAAAACATTTCAAGAGAGATGAATGCTGTTACGTGCTTTAACTGAAGTCGCTGATAAACAAGCAAATGAAACGCCCATTTTAATATATTGTTCTCGAATGCTAGCAAAATCCCACTCAAGATACACCTATTTACACCTTCGATGTGAAAGTTCAACATTAAATGGCTTATTCGTTGTTTTTCGTTCAATTACACATATTCAAATCTGTGCCCATGGGGCTTTGCTGACTACATTTAAGACTGTATAATTTGACATTTCTAATCACGTCGAATACACCTTCTACTTTGTGTGATTGTCAATTCGCTTTTCTCCACGGATCATTTGTTACTCTAAAGCTTACTAGTTACTATGTAGACGCCAAATTTGGAGTGCCTTTAGCGCCCACACCAGGTGTAATTCTTGGATGGTCGATCTGTTTTAGTAAACTGATTTTGTCACTCCAATGCAAAAAGACGCGCATAACAGTACAAGTTGATGTCGTTTATTGTCAGGAAAGTACAGGTGTACGAAGATACGTCGGTACGATGTCAGGTACGTCAGTATGAGAAGTACGATGTTAGAAGTACGAGAATACGACATTACGTGAATGCGGCAATACGGTTTTCTAAATAAAACAAACAAACAATTATTACAACAAATAATGTGCCGGCAAGAAATAAGTCGACAATTGAAATTATCAACTGAACAAAATTGTACACATTGGAACTGAACTTAACATACGCAGGTTTACGCCAGTAAAATAACAGTAGCGGCTGATTACAAAAGTGGTCATTATAAAACACAGTACAACCGAAATTTTTCCTAAATATAAAAATAATAAACTGAAATACGTACTTGACAGTGTAACTATCAGCTTACAAAATAATCGACAGTTGATTGGAACAGTTAATGAAATTAAGTTAATGTTATTAAATCTAAATATATGAAAATACAATCAAAACCTTGAAACTACAAATCTGCAACCAGAGAACGAAAACCTTGCACCACAAATCTGCAATCCCACAGTCCTGAGAAGGTCGAATCAAGGTTCTGAAGCAGTGCGCGCAGCGCACGCGCACGGAGTATGATGATGTCACAATCACTAAAATCTGTGAACTTATGTATCACCAGCGTCTCCAGTGGCAAACATCAAAAATAATAATGAAGCGGAAGAGGCAGTTTCATACTATATGTAAATACATGCATTTGAATGTCTTAAATACTCCGCATATAATCAATTTTAGAAGTTTGTGGACAATTGGGACACACACTCTGGCGATGCTAGGTTAAACCATCAGAATTATGGTTTTTCCCCAAAAAATTTGAACTGTATTCTGCTAGAAGTTCAAGTTCAACCCGAGCATAGTTAATCCCAAAATAGCAAAAGTTTTGGAATCTCAACTTTATGCAAAATAGGAATACCACAAATCCTTGCGCTTGTTATGTCTAATATTATGCGGCTGTGGTAATTTTTTGTGATATTCTTGTGTACCACCAGCATCAGTCAAATTTAAATCAGTATCATTACCAACAAGACGGTACCCATCCCAAACACTTGCCTCGCCCTAGTCGTGGAACAAATCGCAGGACAACATTGGCGATACCAGAATGAATTTGGTAGATCAAGATGGTAGTCCAGTGTCAAGCAACATCGTGTGCGACCTGGCGAATCATTGGTACAGTGCGATTCTGTGGAAACGCTGTCTCCCGGAACTCATTAAAAATAGTAATAGTGTTATTCAACTCGGATACGGTTTTAAGAACAATGTCATGGATATGATGAAAAAGTATCTCGGCTGAATATCCCCACTGTGCCAGTTCCGGAGCCAGGTAGGATCGAGTAACTGCACTTCAGTATCACAAGATTCTTAAACTATTTCAAGTTACAGGTCGAGTCTGCAGACTTCATACGTGACAGTGAACTGTAGATTACGAGCCATACGACTCGCATTGAAAATTGTATAAATATGGGTAATAATCCCTGAGACTTCAACAACGTTTACCTCTGCATCATCATTGTTTATTTTAAGATATTGCTGAAAAAATCTGTTGAATTTTGGAACTCTCCAATACAACACCAGTCTAGGTGGTCATGCTCAGTTTTTTTTTTTGCTATTTCAAAGAGTCGCCCAAAATTATCCTTACTGAAAGATGCTGAGAAATGTTTCTTTGTTCCGTGCAGTTTTGATTACCTCACGGAAAAAGCCTAGCTATAACACTACTAGCGTAACAGAATCATAAAGAAGCCCATTTCCAATACAAGTCTTCTAAAACTTTCATAACAAATAGTATATATATATATAGCAAATACATTTCAATGGAACTATATTTTAAGCTCGAATATAATACGGATACCTGAACACGTTACACTATGAATGGAAACAATATTCGTCAGCATGCGGTATCGTCACATCAGCTAAATCTTAATTTTTACGACATTGATAAACGTACTGCAAGTTGACATTTGAGTAGATTTGAGTAGAGGTCTAGTAGACTATAGAATATAGATAGAATGAGTAATCATAAAGAATCAGGAAATAAATTCAAGGGGTGTTTCCAGGGGTATATAATAGAGGCTATAAGATTTATAATATGTTTAAAGCCAAAATTTGGCAAAACTTTCCAATATCAAGACCCGTTACAATTTCGAAGCAACTAATATGCAGACGTAGCCACGCGGCAAGCGCGAACCAGCGCGGCGCATGGGCATCCAATATCAATCGCTAGAGGACGTCGTCGCTCCATCCAGAAAGCTTTCAAGCAGAGTAAATATGAAGAAAATATGCTGAAAACAGGCAATAAAAGAAAATTAAAATGAAATGCTGATATTAATATGAAACATATGCAATTTGAACTATATTTGTATAATATGTAGGTGCGCCAAACTAAAAGTATCAGGTAACGAAGTATTTACCGGCAATGATTTCGCCATGCGTGATTTTTTATTATTAATTTAACATTGTCTATAACACAAAGTGAATACTCCACATTATTCTAACTTCCTTCTAATGCGTGATAAATTTGTTTACATTATTTACAAACAACTGTCAATTTGTGCGTTAATTTAAAAAAAATTTTGCAACTAATTTGAAAGGCCTTTTTATCAAAATTTACTGTTTATGGTGTTTTTTTTTCTTTTTTTTTTTCCGAATGTTATGGGTCAGCTATGATGAATCACAGCTGCTTTCAATATTAGATTAATGTTCTTTATCCAGTAGCACCTTGGACTGAATTATGAGCTATGTAACACGAGGAAAATTAAAACGAAGTATAGCCGGTATTTAGGGCTATTTATCAATGTCGAACCTTATGAACCCATGCCGGGAGGTGCCGGTAGCTTGGATTTTCTGCTCCACTGCACAGATTATCGCCCGGTGCCGGTAGCATTACATATTTATGTCGGCATTTGCTCATATGTCAATTTTTGTATTTTTTTCATTAAAGATAAAAATTGGCTTTTTTTCAAATCGTAAGCTTATAATGATAGCAAATAAACTACTAAATTGTATAAAAATAACTGGTATTTCAAGGTAATTTAGTTTTAACCTCTGATCATAAAGATATGAGCTATATATAGGCCAAATTAAAGGTTATCACAACTAAGAAATCTTGTCAAACGTGGGTACTTTATTTACCAGGCCAATGGAAAAAAGTACTCCAGACCGAATTTATCAAGGGGCCGTGTTTGATCAATGGATAAAATTACAGTAATATAATAATGGTAGTATCAATGATGACAATATACTTGAATAAGCTTATTATAAACAAACAATAAAAATAAGCAGGAAAAATAATTAGAAAATTGATATGCTGCGACAAAGCTGGAACAAAAAATGAGAAATAAAAAATAAAAATACGACATGATGAAACTTATGCTGAACAAGTTGAAAATTCGTTGTCCTTCAAATATAAGTCAAATATCTAACAGAGTTTAACGCAATGAAAGGTTGCCGGGGAGTAATTCCAATAGTGGGTTGTAATGGATAACAACGCAACACGAAAAAACTGTGTTCACTGCACTTCAGCCTAAACCGAATAAATCCGAAATCAGAGTTATTCGAAAATGCCAAATTACAATATATTATACACAAATTTTTTATATTTCATCAATGACATCGTGACTTATTTGACGGTGCCATTGCAGAAAATTATAGAACTATTTAGCCATAATTCTTCATTCCATTAAATTTGATATTAAATGAGTATTGAAAACAAAATGACAACTGTGGGAATTGTTTTCTCACGTGAAAAAAGTGCTGAAACCCCGCTGCTCCCACACGCCAATACCTATTGAAATCAAGGACAACTAAAATAACTCTTATTTGACGGCAGACACTACAATATGATATTCTTTTTCAATGAGTAGATGGATGTACGTGACTATTTTAACGAGCAGAGTTAATTTTTTTAATATTTTCAATAGAATACGATTCAGCATAAATTATGTTTATGATAGTGATGTATATTGACATTAAGATTCTCGTTTCACATTAAAAAACGGAGTATTATATTACTTAAAATTTTCCCAAGAGTATAAAATGTCTAATTTTAATATAAAAAATGCTAGTTATTTTGATATAATTTCTCAACATTGTTACTGGAGTTTTAAGATGGCAAAAGCTGCAACGTATAGAACAAGCTGAAAAACTTTTCGAGTCAATTTTCTACCATCGGTTATCTTATACTGCCAAATTCAATTCAAACATACGATAAATATTCGCCACTCAAATTGATGTTAAAATACAAACTAAAGACTTTCGAATATCAGTAAATCTAGTGTATTTTTATTACAGTGTCCGAAAAATCTGCCTATGAACATTAGTACCAATATTTTAACATTGGCAAATCCGTGGATTTTTCTCTTTTACGTAACCCACCATCTTTCTCTAACCTGCTATTATGTGTCCAAATGTTGGACGTTTTCTGTTTTATTGGAACTTCTATGCGTTTAAATCAATACTGTAAATTGGCAGTTCCCAACGGTACCAATTCAGTTAATAAAAACAGCGGGGAAAATATGTTCTTTTATCCGCCACGACATTGAGAGTAATCCCCCTTGGTCCAGTAGCAAATTTGAGCGTATTTGAGAGGAGTTATACGCACCCCGGTGTTGAATTCTTTGTGAGAACCGTCGGGAAACTGCACTCGTTGATGACCAGAAAATACGCCGATAACTTTGCGAGACCATCGTTCGGTTTGCTTGTCATACAACCGAATGTAAATACCAGATCCAGAGGTGCCCTCTTGTGCGTCACAATAGTGGTACATGAGATCGGGAGACTCGCCTTCAATTGGGCAGAAACGGTATAACATTTGATTGCTACGGTCTGTATCAAACCCGGTGAAGTGAATTCTGTGACCAGATGGGATTGCTTCTTTCTCAGGACAAATTCCGATATCCATGTACTCTGTTCCGAGTGCTCGTTTAAGTTCTATAACAGCATAATCGTACTCAATGGGAAATTCGCTCGTCTTGCTATTTTTTGCAGCATCCAGCCATCCTTGTGGTATATGTATACGTTTCGATCTTACCCACTTGAAATACGGTGCAATCGGCTCTCTCATGAATGAAACATCTCGTTTAGAACGCTGATTGGAATCCCCTTGTACATCATTAGTGGAATCTTTCTTCGGTTTTTTATTCTTGCTTTTGCGTTGCTTTTTTCCACGGCCAGCTTTACGGCGCTTGCCTTTTCCGCGTTGTTTTTGCATTGTTTTCATAAGCTTGCCAATTTTGAGTTTTCGAACGCCCTGTTGTGAATAAAAATGATCGTATGATATCTCGAATAAATAAATAAAAGTGAGATGATTCGCTACCGTAATTGACCAACAAGCCTTGATGGTCATCGCAAATTAAAATCGGAAATGGATTTGAAAAACATCATTAAAGAACTCGGCAACGAAATAAGTTTTATTACTCCATTACAATTAGCGTATACGTCCATCTCGTGTTGATAAGCAATCACCACGACATCTGCCTAAAGCGGGTTGTCCACGGGGCTAAACAAGAGGTAAATTCGAGATATTTGGCCCAGAATACCAACACCGTCACCGTGTTGTTCGTTATGGTGAGCGGTCCTATTTGTGAAGAATGACTCTTCAAAAATATCATAACTCGATTCAAATATTGAGAGTTTTAAATTGGCTTTCTATGTACCATCGAACCAGCAGAACTTTAAAGCGTTTTTCACAGAAGGGGTAATTTTACTACAAAAGTAGATAAAAAAAAAAATTTGGCCCGCACTCGTAGACGTGAAAAGTTTTACCAGGAATCGTGTATCACCAACAATGAGCATAAAAGGCGGAAGCTAGGTATTTTTTAACTGACACAGCTATATAGGCTCCGTAATTGGCGAGAAGTGGGAGTAATTGACCACGACGAATCCAATTGAAATTTCAATCGTTTGTTGAAAGGCGACGTTTGCTATTACGTCGATTGGCATTTTTGATGACTTGAGTTGGCAAAACTTCAATATTTTGGGCAAATATGCATTTTCGTTTAGTTGGCAAGGTAATTATTGCATGTAAAATTACCCTTTTCAAAATGAACTTTAGATGTGGAAATGAATGACGCGAAACGGCGTAAACAAGTCTGGCAGAATTTAATTTTTTCGACTGTATGGGATTGCCATACGATAGTTTTATTTCAAACTATATGGAATATTAATAATAATTTTCTGACAAACTTCCAATGACATTTTGTGTTTAAGGTTTATAGTACAGTTATAGAATTCGCTGCAGTCGGAAATCAGAATTTTAAATTTTTTATGGTAATAATTGGATTCGAAATTTTTTACGGAAACTGAAGTAAATTAAGTTGTCGGAGTCAAAATTCCCATTAACCTGGAGTATGGAGTTGAATCCGGAGTCAAATCTTTAATAAGCATTCGAAATCCGGGTCAAAACTATTTTAACCGAAGTCAAAGGCCGATTGCAAATTTCCCCGACTACACAACTCTGATTTTACTACATAAGAGTGATGTGTGGAAAATTTTACGCTGACAGACATAGATAGACCTGAGCCGCCAGCTTGACGGACAGGGCAAAAAATGTATTATTTTGACTTTCATCCTTTTTTAATCCTTCAAGGTCGATATGGTCATGACCAAGGGCAATGATGTCATACATTTCAGTCATAACTAACATTGGCATTGATCTGTTTAGCCAACATAAAGCCCCATACTTTGTGTATTTTGATAAACGAGGCATAGCCTAATTCGTTTTTCGATATTTGTGTTTTCAATAATTAAAGTGGATTACGTAAGCCTGTCTGCAGTTTAATGACATAGCGTCATTTTTACAAAACGTGCATTTCTCATTTCAAATTTGTCTCCTAAAAACTGCTGTAAAAGAAGTGAAATGCGGTTTTTGTTCGTTTATTTTGCTAAACAAACAGTTTTAAATCTGTACTTCCGTAGTATGTGTACCAGGTTAGGGCTAGGCCATAATTTTATTCCGATTTGCCTTATTTTAGTAATATTGCGAACTCGGCGACTGTCTGCGTTAGCCAAGTGAATATACCCCCTGCCCACAGCCCCTTTACACTTGATGTAAAGTAGGCGAACAAAATTAGTTACCTCCATTTGGTACACATACTTCTGGAGCGCCATGAAATCAATATCGCGTCTGGTCCATGTATGATCACTTGTGTACTATGTTTATGCCAGGGCTAATATTCTAAATGAATTCAGACATGTCCCTTTACACTTGATGTAAAGTACAATACAAATTTCAAAGTACAATACCATAAATTATTCAGAAAAAGCGCAAATCAAATTTTTTCTTATGTCAACACGACTTCAAAGACGACGGATCCCGAATGCAATTACAGAAATGCAATTTCCATCTGCACAATTTCACTTGACACTATCTTTAAAGCACTTTGTATGTCGTCATCGTTGGCCAAAGTATGACATCAGTTTAAAAAAAAAAAATTGCCGAGCGCCTAATGGGGAGACTAACCAAATTTACCTTCCTTGTTCAAATTTATACAACTTGTTTACCAAGGTATGAAGCTCTTCTTTTACATACAGTGACCTTATACTTGTCTAACAGCAGTCTAATGACCTAATTGTCTGGAAATAAAATTTTCCAAGTACTGAATAGACAAAATATCGAAGACGATACAGGCAGAACTTGCCGTTGACCCCTCCTGGGGTCGCATAATACTAAGCTACGCTAAAGCGATGATCCAAAATTCAATTCATAAGAGAAGTAACATTTTTAATAGATCATGAATTGGTTTCAAGTACGAATAAGTCGGAAAAATCGTATGTTAGTGGGCTCACTTTTTATCCCCAACAGCCAATACAAATGTTGTTCGGGTAACTTGAATCCTACTTCGTGAAACAAGAATAAACTCAAGTCATATTTCCTCTATGGTGAAAAGGAATGCATGTGGGAAAATGTAAAAATATTGCAGTCTGTCTTGTGATCGAAAAGTGATCGTTTAGAGATGCTGCAAAAAACTTAATATTCCTAGGCTCTTATTGACAGGATTAGATAGAATATAATAATATGGCAATACATCTCTTTACATGATCCACGAACGTGAAAAGCAACTTTTTAAATATTTTGATCTGTACTAATCAATATTGGTAGTAGTTTTTAACAAGTTTTAAATCGAGATGATCCCAGCATTATCGCCTGTTACTTGATTAACGTAAAAGTGGGTAACAACAAATAAGAATTCGATAACATTCAAAGGTCATCGTGTAACTGTTACCTATGGAACTGTCACTGCCACAAAAAAATGCAGAAATTGCTCAGAGTTTTACAGTATTTACATATATATTGTGGAATGTGGTTATAGATGTATTATAGAAATATTCATTCCAAACAAGCATTAAATTTGTGCAGCAGTGACACGTCACACACTCGCCAAAATCTGTTGTTGTGAATGCTTTGTGTCCATTCAATAAGCTTCCAGTGATGGACAAACATTAGTAAAATTACAGTTTTTACAATAGTATTAAAATGAAGAGGATTAAATTGAAATTCGAGTCTTTTGTTTACGACCATTAAGCAGTCGAGGAATGGAAGGTAACAGAAATTTAAACTTCAAGATTTAACGCACTTGATTTTAAATCTAGTTACAAGGGCACGTTCCGAAATTTAAGCCGTGATTTAGTCTGGATATTCTGTACCTATTACTTCAAAGGAATTTATTCCTGCGCCCCACGCAGTCAACGAATATCTCTTAATTTCTACACGGTTGAACATGTTGCAAAGATAAGTCGTACCATTGAAGCTTGGCACATGTTTGGCATATGCCTGAAAAAAATATTTTTTAATTGACTGGAAATGAGTGGATTACGTTTCGTTTTCGAACGCTATTTGGATGAAAAAAGGTTAAATTCCTGAGCAAGGTGGATGCTACTAAAATATATTTATTTTGTTGCTGGAATAACTCGGGCCCCAGATTCAACTTCAAAGAAAAAGCTGTAAAGTAATGAAACCATAATTACAGCGAAATCAAGTGATACAAGAAGTATTCGTGTGTGCCTGGTTTCTAGAGGTATGATACAGACGTAAATTTGAAAAGTTCTGAGTAGGATGAGGTTGTAAATCCAACCAAAGCGAACTCAAATCTACTTGAACCGATTAGTTCTGACGGAAGAGTGAGATAAATAGTTGGATCGATATATGGTCACAAACGTTCATTAATTGGCTCCGATCAATGATTTTGAAATACATTTAAAATATGCCTTATATGCCCATATCATTCGACCACAGAATTTTATTTATCAATTTATCCTAATATAAAGTCGAGAGTAGTTCCAATTTTGCCGAGTAGTGGGATGTGAGGGAGATAACAGGTAAAGGCGGGGCTCATCGTTCCATCTACATTTATTCTTGGCATAAACCTTGGTTCGGTTCACCCGTTATGGATTGAAAACGGCGGGCGTGAGAAACTTGAGTTGTTTAGAATTTGGCAAATAGCACGTCTGGCCTGTCCTTACTCCCGATTTATCATTCCAATTTAAAGCTATCATGCCACAAAGATGCCCGGAAAAACGAAATTTCGTGCCAGATTTCACCTCAGTGAGCAAATATAGTAAGCTATCTCTAGCGAGAAGGTAAATAAGTGAAAGTCGTTTGCAAAATCACATGATACGGTTTTCAAAATCTTTAACCTTGGAAATTTTAACTCGTGAAATTTATTACACAACGCGGTGAATTAGAAACCAGTTCAAATTGAAAATAGATCTTACGTTATTAGGTGTTAGATAAGAATTCCCGAAAGTTAAATGGACTCAATCATATGAATAGAACAATTTTATCGGCATTTGAAGTGTATACAATACACGCGAAATCTCCCAAAAATCTCTGAAGATTTATAAACTCTGGGAAGGAAAATGTCCGAATGAAACGTTCACCACTAACAAAACGGTGATATGCAACAGGTCTATATTTTGAAAAGAAGGCTAATTAGAGCGTTTTGTTGTGACTAAATTTTTTCCTTTGTCTTTCAATGAGATATAAAACAATTTTCATTTTGCTCGTATTTAAACTACCGTAAATGCTAAAATTACGTGCTTCTTGGAAGGGTATGGTAGCTACTGAAAAATTTTCAAGACTTCGCTTGTTACACCTAGATGGTGCCAAGACTTGTTACTGGAAGTGTAACTTTATAGCTCAGTTTCAAACTGATTACTTCGTACCAATAAAAAATTACAGCTGAATTATTGGTTTACACGAAGCCTAATGCCACGATAAACTCAGCTATCAAAAGCAAACAGAGTTCCCATTGTGTTCGTTACCACAAAAATGTATTCTGCTATCAATCAGGTCAGACAATATCGTATCAGATAACGGACCGTGGATACGCGATCGAAATGGCCTTGGAAGACTTTTTGCCATATTTAATCCAGCTGACAATGCCCGTTTTTCGATATGGTATATCTATTCCAAATCTGTTTCGTAATACTGAATTGAAATTAGTTTTATGATTTATAAGACGGTTAAAGCTAACTTTGTCGTATGATCACGTACGTACATGACTCCCGCTAGATATATTTAACAGCAGCCCGTTGGCACTGAACATGATGTATGATGCCAAAACACATGTTTAATTAGAAAATAGCGTTCACCGAATGTGAGTAAATACGGTACTCCATATATCAGATCCAGTTATTTCACAATCGTACCAATGTAATTCAAATTATTATATTTTGGCCAGAATCATACAGTTTTATGATGACGAAAATTCAGGTCAACAAGGGTTTGGGATTCCTAGAACTTTCTTACTACGTAATTACGTTCATTGCAGCTGTTTTCTTTAATACGCGCCCGGCTGCCGGCGTTAATATCATTAACGCGTTATTAGAAGAACATGACCTAGCCATGGCTATTTCATCGTCACGCCAGAAGTTTAATTAATATACTCTTTGGATCGCAGTCTATGCTTGTTATGACGAGTATGCATATATTGGAACATATCGTCAGTTATGTGACGTGAAATAAAACATCATGTTATAATTCGAGATATTTGTGGCAATGGCGTCGAAGTATGTTGGTTTACTGCGTTCGGTGAGGTGTAATACCATATATATAGCATACCAACGCAGAGATATGTTTATTGTATTGGTGTATTGCTTTTCTCGTATATTGAGAGCCACACTACCAATTACATTACCGTTCCAAACGGCGGCGGTGCAAATTTTTATAACAAACTTAACACAGATCTTGGCTCATGACCATCTATGCTAAAGTCATTTATAACAAACAAGTCTTACACGTTTATCTCTACTCTAAAAATCAACCCCACTGTGTATAAGACGATTGGGACAAAACTATACATCGCAACTATGTCACGTCGCAAGTTTTTTTTATGTAAGGCTGTCAATGATGGCGTATAAAATAATAGTTTTATACGATTTCAAATCTAGGCAAATATTAGAGAAAACTTGAAACAGGTAGAACAATTTATAATTTCTATCGATGGATTTTTGAGTTTACCATTTAACGTTCTCTTAACCCTGCTAAATCGCTTAATGGTAAATTTTGACACCGAAATCTGGCAAGCCTATGTTAGATTGAGTCAGAAACACAAGTAGAGATTCTTAGCTCGTCTTCTCTCGAATCAGTCTAACGTTTGATGATTAGCATGCTGTGCGTGACGGCATTCTGGGTTTCTGTTGTTGAAAGACATAAACAGGGTCAATAATTCCATAGCTCTAGTAATTAACTCACCAAATTGCGTGGCGGCAAGACATAACGGCACCTTGGGACGCAAGAATAATGAAGACTGATAATCAAGCGACAACGTTGGAACACGATTATCGTGGACGTACCGGTGAAATAATATACATATATCATAATTAGTTTGAAAGTTTTTGCATTTAGCTACACTGTCAATATAGATAGTTTTTGGAAACGAGGAAATTGTGAAAAATTCGCGAATCCTAGCTGCTGTTATAAATTATAACGGATGACACTATAATCAGAAAGTTTAGTTTTCCCAGGATCGAGTTTTGATCCATGGCATTGCGGTTACGGATCGCACATATTTGACACAAACAGCTTATGCAAAAATGCAGTTCTGGGATACCTATAGTGGTCAGTTTGAGAGATCACTCAAAATACCGCTTTTGTATTCAATCAGAGGATTGTTGGTGGTCCTGACCCGACATCCAAATTTGCACGAATATGCGTGAGTTCACCCTCGGTTGATGCTTCTTGAATTATTATTGATAAATGGTACTATTAATCATGGTAATTCAATTTATATATATACGATTTTGACACATATTTCGAGTTAAAACAGTGTCAAAATTACCACGTAACAAATGAGTGCTTCCTCTACGTACCTTTACGTATCTTTTGCCGTCATGGATACAATGTGCTGACGTCAAAACACGCTTTGGAGACAGCAGGACGCCAGAACACCCCGTAGACAATTTGACTGCGGTAGAGAAAGGGTACATTGTCGTGTATTTTCTTGAAGGAATTGCGAATCTTGTGTCGAGGCCAAAAATGTTTCGTCTTCTACGTTCAAGAACATCTACATCGTCATCGAATTCTGTGTCATCTATGTCAATTTCTTCTGTTTGTGGGCTAAGGCTATTTGTTTCGTTAGTTGCTATTAGTTCCTGTGGAACGTCGCCAACTTCTATTTTAACATTAGTCAATTCGTAGTTTTGCATGTCCAGTGTTTCAAATGCAAGTCCATTTTCTAATTCCCTAGTGTTCGTCGGCTTGCTAGACCTCTTCATTTGGCAAGACATCCCACATGTAGTGTTGAGATCCCTGAGGACGTGGCCGTGAAACCGGGCTCGTTTGGACTGGTGCACACTCACGCGCCTGATTTCGGGTAGCTTAGGAATCTCCCACGCCGGCACTGGATTGGAGAACATTCGTTGGCGACCTAGATGTGACGCTTCCGAGGTGATCCATATTGTTACAAAAAGCGCGCCAAACAAAGCACGCTCAATCATATTTCTGCTTTCTGCCAAATTCTTCGGCGGCCGGTACTTTTTGAAGTCTGTCTGTTTCCGTTTTGGCAACGGCTTTGTCAACAATGAACTAAGTTGAAATGCCAGTCAAGCATGACATGCAGCAAAGCTACAATCTATCTATCAAATTATCCCAACTCAAAACCTAACCTGGGAAATGGAAAAAAATATTTGTAACAAGTACAAAAAATGAATCAATAGTATACTATAGATCGTTAGAAATTGTTGATAAATTGGCAAATCGCTAATAATTGTAAAGTCATAATTCCACCAGCCGAATTTGTAGTGGACACACTCCACCTACCATTCCATAACACCTGTCAAAATTGTAGTCCGCCGTTAAGTCAGTTAGGATAAAGTAACTGGAGCAAAAAGTATTGTATACCAACCTACATACCAGCCAGGTTAATCAAGAATAGCGATTGATTACTTTTATTTTTGCACGCTATATCTCATATCAACGGAAATATGTCCATAATTGACACATTTTTATGGATAAATAAACACAATAATATTGAATCCTATGTGTATCCTTTGTGTATACTGTTAATGATTGTACCACCTACAATTTTCTGACATAATTTCTTTGATTTTGTATATCTTAAGATATCTTAGTTTTCCTAAGCTACATTATAGACCCACCTTCTAACTTAAACAAGCCTTACTTACAATACCTAGAATAAAACAAAAAAAGCGAATCAAAATATTGGTAGTTGGGAAATCATAGCACAGTACTCATCTTTGCAAGGATCATTTCACATTTTTTTTTTTATCTATTCTTACATTATTATATTTAAATCCTTAGCGAATATAGCACCTGCTGTATGTATATATCTTTATATGGTCGGACAAACCAAGTAAATGAGAGGGAAAATATCCTGATTTCCTGTTGTAGATGTTCCGAGAAACCACAAAAGTAAACTAGACAGCCTGACTCAAACAGTAAGGAATGAAAATTGTAGACTTTGGCAATACTTGACAAATATAAGTAATGGCTCAACTTATCGGTATGAACAGTCGTTGAATAACAATAACAAAATTAATCTCCCGCGGAATGATATATATATGGACGTTATCTGTGACTAATGAGGAATTTATAGGAGTGAATATGTCTAAAGTGCATGTGACGGAAAATGAACGAACTATTGAAAAAATGTGTGAGCTATTATTTGAGATCAGCTCATAACTAACAGTTAGGTATAAAGGCCGGTGCTTCTAAAGTTGGGGGAGTGAATTTGCATCGTAAGCGATACACGTTTCCCAGAAAAAAACCTTGATATTCAGTTGTAAAAAAGTCAGCCAACAATCCATATCCCGCATAAAATGATGACCTAACGAAACTGCATCTAAATTTCTCATCTTGTCAACAGAATCTCTATTCTAAAAGTTTCTCTCCTTTGTCTTGGTAGTATTAACTTGAACAGTTTCAAGCCCCTTGCCAATACTGTCATTTTTTCGCAGAAATATAGCTATAGCTCATATTGCGTCAATGGTCACTTGCTTATCTATCAGTTCTTTTGTTACCACAAGGACCTTTCTATGAACAAATTTTTAAGAACAACAATTTATTTTTCAGATTTCAACAATTTCGACTTAGGTTTGCCAATTTCCTAGACTCGATATAATAAAATTATGCCGGGGAAAAAGATGAGACAGACCGTTAGAAATCTAACCAACGTCGACTAAAGCGACAACCCCGGGAGAATAGCACATGTATGCCAGGGCCATATCAGTGCGCATTTATTTCATAGTCACAGTTACCTTAGACAGAGTTTTCTAAAGTCAGCAAAATATCTTGGAAAATGAATATTGTCACCTAAAAGTAGATGAAAAATTAATTTGTCAGCTAATATAAATACATCAACGAAAACTTTAAAATTCTGTCGCGCTCAACAAAATACTAAAAAGGGAAAGTGTGATCTTTGACCCTGTGATCGTACTACAACATCGGAACCTCTTCCACCCGAAAACAAACAATATCTTAATCCGTAAAACAACACTTTGAAGAATTTAACTTCTCTTTATTTTTTCTGGTTCTCGTTTTAAAAATGGATGGTGGCTATTTGTCTAGTTCAAGTTACATTTCCCACAAATACTCCAAACCGAATGCTAATTACAGCATTCTCACAATACAAAACTGCTAGATATAGAGGTGTATAAAATACTGTTCTCAGGCTTCTTAAAAGTTTCGAATTCCCCTCAGAAAGATAAAATTCGATGTCATTTTGCATTCCTTCAATACCGCTTTTGCCGATACTATAAAAACACTGTATTTCTGGAGTAATCGTCGCCGTACAAACATTTTCGGATATCTTGACACTCACACATGATGAAAAGTCATCAATCTTTGCTGGTTTTCAAGTTCGAGGTTAGGTTTGGAACAGTAAACAAATTTTAAAGTCTTTTTAAGTGACATACAATCGAAGAGATTAAGATGAGAGTTGAAATGACTGATTGTTTCAACATTTGAAAACTAGGTCATAAACGAAATTAATACAAAACACAGGAGTAAATGATCAGTTTTTTGATTTATATATATATCATAGATTAACAATACTTCATATATACGAAGATTAAATTAAACAATCACAAGTGTAAAACTATGCACAGCAGTTTGTTTCGAAAAACACAAAACGGTGTCTTTGTGTTTTTAACCTATGACCTTGCTTCTAATCTAACTTTAAAATTTCGCTGTTTATTTCTAAACACTTCCTGCTTGTAAAATACAAACAAAAACGAAGACAAAGAATCTAATTATAAAGTGAGACGATATCTTGTTTTTACTTTCTCGTCCGGAAACTGAACTTTGTGAGCCGTTCTGCAGAGTATCAACTCACTGTTAGGAAAATCACTGAAACTTCACAATATTTCGATGTTATACATTATGTGGAACTGGAAACTGATCTCAATTTCGTTGTGGGGACAAACCGGGATGACACCCATTTCCAATAACATTTTGACTGAAGCTAAGTACTAAGAAATTCTGGTGAAATTACCTATTTTTTTGAGGATTTTATAAAGTAAATTGTCTAGAAAATTGCTGATACAAAAATGTTTATTCTATGATCGTGCCGGAACGCGGAAAGTCTGGATTGTGGTATTCATGCTTACAAGGATCTTCCGTTATTATATACGCGTGAAATTCCCTAACATGCTAATCGGGTTCAAATAACTTGATCCAGTTAAGTTGAAAGCTAATAAATCTAACGAAAGTAAATGGCTTCTGAGCAGCACTAAATAGCCCACATTACAAAAATTTTGATTGAGTAATATGGTTTGAATGGCGAAAAAGGTATGAAAAATAGTAAAAAGAAAACTGTTCGTCTAAATTCTGGGAAGGTAAGTGTCAAATCAAGTTCGAAAAAAATCGTAATATATATAATAATATTAGTATCGATAAAGTGATGGTCCCTTACTTCAGAGTCCTTGCTTAACTATATTAGCCAAACGAACAAAACCAACACCTATCAAGGACGTCTACGATACACAAAGTATCCCACTTCCTCATTATATTCACACAAATGCCAATTAGCCTTAAGTGCTATCGATTTGACGTCAAGTGCCTAATCACATTACAATGATATATATAGGCTACCTAAGATCGACCTGCTTTGCGCCTATGATATAAAAGCAGTACGCTTACTGAAATAGATATTTTGTTCAAAATTTTATTTCAATACTTTTGATGATGACGTGACGTGACGAATTTGACGTGATACTTTTAAATTTGTGCTGTGTCACTTACTAAAAATCAGCATAAGATAAATTTTCTTTGATAAACTCGTTCATTCTGACTATTACTGTAACTGAACTAACCGATGGATAAAATCGACCGGTAATAAATGAACAACTTGACCGATTTTACGCTGACCACCTACGCCGACCTAAAATATATTTTCCGATCTCAAGTTTTATTCCCTTGCGAGAGAACTCAAGTTACATATGCCCAAATATGGGAATAAGCCAAAATTCTTTCAAAGTTGTGATATACTTTAGCCAGCATTTTGTCATGGCGCAAATAAATGACTTCTATTACACGATATTTTCTAAGTTAATCTCTTCACTAGCGCACAACTCTTTAGCGTTTGGTCCACAACTTCTGTTTTGCCAACATAAATACCAGTTTATCAAATTTCAGCGTCTAATGTTTCAAAGGAAGCTGAAGTCAAGCCCGTGACCTGATGGGTGATACACATTCCATTTTTAAGTATGCTCAAAAATTTTACGCCGTGGTCTCACCTTTTACCCCAACCATTTTGTCTGTTTCCTAATTTGGACTAGATCATACGTCATACTTTATTCGCCAAAAAGCCTTTGTTTTGGTAATAAAATCCCAATTGACACCGGCATATTTTTAACATAATATCTCATAGTGAGTCATCGTTTCGCACGTTCATGTATTAATATGGTGTATACTCGCGAGTCACCCTTGACCTGTTTCTACCATATTCCGATAAACGTGAATGCCGTCTGGTCTGTGTCGGATAATAAGAAGATATAGACATTCGGCTAGCCAAGGAGCTGTCAGTCAGAGCAGATATCATCGTATTGTTTGGAACGGAATGATATATGGGCTCTTTCAAACAATTAAATGTTTGAATAGGTTATTATACGTATGCCGTGAACGAGAATTACGTCTTAGGATTACATAATTCTATGTGACAAGTACAATCGCTAACAAACACATTACCTGGACTAGATCTAGTGTAACTTCTTTGCATTACCTTGCAAGATACTAGTAAATTGAGAGTGCCATGATTACCTTTTGGAATGCATGAAATAGGTCAACAGATCGGTATACTTACAAACATGTAAATATTACCAATATTGTAAAATATTAAAAAAGACACACGAATTTGTATTGGGTTCCGAAGCAACGGGTCATCGCCACTGACATGTCTTCAAAGTTCCAAAACAAACAATGCAAACCTGGTGCTAGTTAAAGGCGACACTGGACCCAACGACTTGAAGTTAGATTGTGTATATATACACAATACTAATTATGCGAAACTTTTAACTTAACTAATGAACTGACAACTCCAAAACACGGGACATATTTGTGGACATTGAATACAAAACTCTGCACATCCTGTCTTACAAAAGCTTAGGCCCAGGTGGACGCAATTCAAGGAGCAGATTGGATGGTTAAAGTGAGGGCGACATCCTTTCG